CTTTGTGGGGGGCTTTTTTTTTCCTTTTGGAGTCATACTATCGTAATAAATGCCCATTTCAAGTCTCATCACACTAACAGCAATTCGATAGGAAAGGAGGAAGGGTCTAGCTCTACAGGGGATGGATTTGAAGTTCCCAGTTCATATGATTCCATCAACATTTTAAGTTACTAAAGCGGAGGAAAAAAGGATTCAAAAATCCAAAAGAAGAGAAAAGTTGGTATGAGGAGTTACACCAGGTAACCCTCCCAGCCCATCAGGCCACTGCAACAGAAAAAAGTCATTTTGTACAGTGACACATTTTAGAAGCAAGTGTCTCAAAAATTCAGAACATAGAAAACCACTAAAATAATTCTGAAACTAGATCCAAATTATTCTTTTGAAAAGAATTTATTTTGATGTACAAAAACAGTCATTTTCTTTTTTATTTGCTTTTTAATTTTTTTAACAAAAGTTTCAAACACAAGTTTATTGTGGTTCTTATTTCATTTGTCATTATTATTATTGATTTTTTTTTTTTAATTAATCTTTCAGTGCGATTGTATACCAGTGCAGCTACTGGGTCCAGAGTAAAGAAAACAGGCTTTTTCATTTTTAATGGCATAAAAAATAAGGAAAAATCCATCTTTTATACAAAGTATAACTGCTGGTCTTTAGGGAAAAAAAACATTTATAAACCCATAAAGCTAGGAGGCACACAATGGGATTTTCATTTTTGTAAATTATAGCAATAATAATAATAATAATAAACATAAGAAGTAACAACAATATGCAACCATTTTAACCATCTTTGATGCCATGTATGGCTTCAGAGATAGACTCAATGAAAATTCATTGAAAATTGTGTTGCTTAGTAAGTCAAGACAGTTGAGAAATTACAAATAATAAAAATAAAAAAGACTAAATTGTCAGTTGCAGGGGTGTTTTTTGAAAGGACAGGAAGCCAGGAAGAAGAAAAGCAGCATCTGGGCATGGCCGCTGGCATCTTTGGTTCAGTCAAACATACGAAGGTAACATGAGCTTGAGCATTCCATAAAATATGAGAATGACCACACAAGGAATGCTGAGGCTGAACTCTAACCCTGGTATGGAACCAAAAAACAATCTGCTACACCAAACTACGAATGCCGTTCCATAATATCACATGAGGTATCGATGCTTCTAGCAGTTCCTCAGTACAGAGGCAGCACTACAGTCCCAGTCAAGACTGGACGGGTTTTCCCAATTTCCATCTCACTGTGAAAGTGTGTCCCACAGTTTTGACTAGTACTCTGTATTGTGCATGTAAAACATTAACTGTGTCCCATTATAGGAGATGCTGACCTTCTGCATGGTTTAAGGGAGGCTGTGAAAGCCTCAG